ATGTGTATATATATATATATATATATATATAAGTTTGTTTCTTTTCACTTAGAAAATTTTCAAAAAACATCTCTTAATTACACAAAAGAAAAGGTTTTGGAAAATGATTAAAAACAACTATTAAATATTTAACTAAGCTTAAACCATACTTGTTTTTTGTTGCTATGTTACTTGTTGGTTTCACCATGCTGTTTTCTCTTGTTGGATGTAATGAAATTTCTGTTAACTGTAACTTCCTCTTTTTAGGTGTCTTTTGATTTAAGTGAATACACAGCAAATGTTGATGCCGTTGGTACTCTTCGAATCCTAGACGCTATACGAACATGTGGGTTGGAAAGTACCACCAAGTTTTATCAAGCTGCCACTAGTGAACTTTATGGAAAAGTACAGGAAATCCCTCAGAAGGAAACAACACCATTTTATCCTCGTTCTCCTTATGGTAATAATGTGTATCTTTTATTTTTAGTAAGAACATTGTACCTCCAGACTCAATTGTTTTTGAAATGTCACATTTTATTTTTTTCTAAAGAAAAAGTAGTATTGTTGAAAATGATTTCTTGTAAATAATTTAGTAACTCTTCTTGATATAAACAACTCATCATTATAATTTAATGAAGTGAAGACTGGTGGAGATTATAAAATTATCTTCCGTTGGTCAAATCAGTTCATAAAGATATTGATTTTTCTAAATAGTTGATTGTGTATACTGTTCTCATTCAGTTTTTGGTGCAAAGTAATAATTATACTTCGATTTTTAACTTTTTTTTTGGTAAAAACTTTATCCCAAATATGAGAACTGTCCTGTTTTAGTGCACAAGCTTAGATTATTATGGAACTCTAAAGTCTTGTATCACTATGGAAAGTGTCTAAGAAGGTCAATTTGGAATATGTTTTCTGTGTGAATTTAAAAAAAAGTGTCTTTGACATGAAATGGAAATATGTTATCTCTGGAACTTTCACTGTAGAAAAGCAAAAAAAATAATCATCTTTTTTTTTGTAAGTAATACTGTGATTATAAAGAACTGATTCCTCACTTATCTTACTAAATGATGTAAAGTAGTTTTTTTTCTCTTTTAGTCTTTGCACAAAACAATTTTTGAAACGAATGTATGAGAACTATGCATTTATCTGGGTTAAAAAAAGAAAACTAATTTTCATTACACTTGTTTTTGAACATTTACTTGCTAAATGTAAATATTTATTTGTTTTTTTTTATAAAAAACAATTTTTTAACGTATTTCAACTAATTCCAGGTGTGGCCAAACTATATGGCTACTGGATAGTGGTCAATTATCGTGAAGCTTATAACATGTTTGCTGTCAATGGGATTCTGTTTAATCATGAAAGTCCTAGAAGAGGTATTAGTTATTGAGCAGACTTGTTTTTCTTATTTCGCAAATCATGTATAAAATTTTATGATTTGTTAATAGTTAAAACAATATTAATTATTAAAAAGATAAATATACCATAAAGATAGTAGACTAGTAGCTTTCATAGATATATTTTTAAAGTTAATCATCATAGCATCAAGCATATGGATAATGTTGCTTTAGATTTTGTAAGATAAAATAATTGTTGATGGCAATTTTATATGATAAATTAATATGGACAAACATATTTATACTGCTTTGATTTGATTTAAAACAAGGCCTAACAATTATACTATCAAGTAAGTTTTGTTATTTTTTTACAATATATCTAGGTTTAAAACAAAAAATGATAATATTAATCATAAATGGAAATTAAAGAAACATGAAATTTTCTTAAAAGCTTGTTTTCTCTATAACATGATTTTAGGAACTCGTAACAGTTGGTCATATCTCTGAATGTGACTACATGTAATATGATACATATAATTTTTTTTTATGGGCACAGTGTAGCTTAGTGTTTAGCATGCTCAGATGAACCTAAGTGTTCTTGGTTTGTGGACCTTTGCTGTGAAAGTGCTCTCTGCACTTTGGGGACATGGATGTACTACAAGAATGATAATAAAATTCCACTATTCAATTAGACGAGTAGCTCAAGAGGTTGCATTGGCTGCTTTTCATGTAGCCTGTCACTTGAAATTTGGGCATGGCTATGTGTAGTTTGGTGGAAAAAATAATCCTGAAACAAACAAACCAATTTTTGTGATACTAAAACATTATACCTTATACTGAAGTTTCCTTCATTCTCATTAAATATGAATATATTTTTTTTTAGCTTACAAGTTTGCACAAGTCCTGATGCATACTTAAACGTTTGTGATGTATTTAGTTAGTGTTTTTGATGTGCTCCTTGCACAGCATATTGCTTATTCAGATAAGATATATATATATGACGTTTCATGTAATGCAATATATTATAGCAAAGCAGGAACAGCTTTTTACACACACACATACATAAGATTAGAAAATTATTGTGGTTCTTCTTTTGTATAAGTATCTTAGACATTATTATTCACATATTTAAGTATTATTTTTTTTACTCTGTGAACAATTTTTTTTGTTTTCTTACTGAATATTTAATGAATATTACAAAGTTACCACAAAATTTGTCAAGGTATTTCTTAACTGTGTGAAGGAAATTGTGAAAAATGAGGTTCAGGTAAATTTACTCAGGTATACCAACTACTACTAAAAACCATAACTTTTTAACATAAATGTTGTAGGAGAGACTTTTGTGACTAGGAAGATCACCAGGTCTGTAGCTAAAATTGTGCTTGGAGAACAAGAATACTTTGAACTTGGTAATCTGGACTCAAAGCGTGATTGGGGGCATGCTAAGGACTATGTTGAGGTATGAAGAATGTGTGTTAATATTAAAACAAGTTTAGAATTATAATATTTTTTTCTTGAAGATGTTAAAATATACATTCATTTTTTTCAAGTTTTAAGTTTGGCTTTAATTTGCATCAGACTGTCAAAATCAGTTGGTATCTAGATTATTTAGTTTTAAGTGAATATTATCTGTTCTTTTATGGTCATATTCAGAGCATTATTTTGGTTGATAAATAATTTTTTTCTTCTTAAGTGCTTGTTGTTACAGACTAAAATTTTAATTTGAAATTAAAAAATAAATATTGATAAAGATGTATTTACAAAATATGTGAATGATTAGATTTGAATAATTTTTTGAATGTCATTTCATATGAATTAAAATGAAGAAATACATACACTCTTAAGTTCTGTATTGCAAGAACTTTTTGTCTGCAGCATGATTTTGACTCTTGCTTATTGTGTATTACTATCCAGTTTCTATAAATGAAAAAGTGGTTGAATCAGTGACGAAACTCGAAGTTATTAAATTAATAACATAAGTGGATGAATTGTTAGATGTTGTTGTACGATGATAATGTTTTATATAATTTATAGACTTATCTTGAGGCTATCACAAACTTCTTCACTGCTATAGAAGAATATTCCATAATTTTTTTTTTTATGGTCATGATTATGCAAAGCAATTTCAAGAAAAAACATAGGTTATGAAAACAAGGCTCTAAGTAAGTGAGAGTTCAGAGGGATAAATTAGAAGTGGGTTTATGAATGACGGTGGTTACACTAGCTTTTTGTTCATGTGTTCCAAAATGCATATACATGGCAAAAAATTTGCATCCCGTCTTTCAGAAGTGAAGCATTTGTGAATATTAAGCACTTTTATATATGCAAATGCTTTGAATATTAAGTGAAGATTAAGAATCATCTACATATTAATAGAAGTTCCAGATGTGTGAGAAATAGCATGGGAGTGGGTGTTTAAAAACTAGAAAATAGGTCAAGAACTAGGCAAGATGCAGTGTAACTGGCATTGAGAATTAAATGTTATAAAAAATTTGATAAACTGACACTGGCCCATCCATGAGAAAAGAGGTCAAGAGCTAGGCAAGATGCAGTGTAACTGGCATTGAGAATTAAATGTTATAAAAAATTTGATAAACTGACACTAGCCCATCCGTGAGAACACTGAGGTGGATTTCAGTGAAGGCCGGTCACAAGATTAAGGAAACATTTCAAAATGTTTTATTTCAAGAAGTAAAAAATGATGATGTTTTGTCCAATTTTCATTGCAAACTAAGAAAACCAATGTCATTTAAAAATGTGTAAAATAGTTTCAATATGATTTCCTTAGGCCATGTGGTTGATGCTGCAAGAAGAGAAACCAGAGGATCTTGTTGTAGCTACAGGAGAGGCACATAGTGTGCGAGAATTTGTAGAAACTGCTTTTCAGCATGTTAAAAGAGAAATTGTGTAAGATCTTTTTATTATTTTTTAAATATTTTATAGGCTTTTATGAATTTCTACTGGTATGGTTACCTGTTTTCTTGATGTGTAGTGGTTGTGCATAAATCTTAAAGGTTGTGGAGAAAGTATATGTAATGTTGGCCTAAGCTTCGAAATAAATCCATTCTAAGGCGTTGAGCAAAATTCTCAGATGCAGTTCATAGACAAAGTTAACTTAGAACAATTATTTCTATAAAAATTGAGAAACTGACATTTTTTTTACCTCCGAAACTCGCACTTAAAATTATTAAATGTCTTTGTTCAGCTGGGTGAGTTATTCAAATTAAGCTCTTACAAAAGTATTGTAACTAAGTGCTATAATTTTGAACAGTTTAGAAGTGCTTATAAGTAATATTAATTGCATAGTTAAGAAAAAGGGTTAAATGTATTTAGGAAATTGTATGTAAAACAACTGATATAAGAAACTCAAACTAGCTGTAATTGCTATAGTAATCTTTTTATACAGCAATCTATAAATGTTTTAAATGAGATGTTTTTACAACTGATAGAGGGTTTTCAAGCACTTATACAATTGAAAGAAATAAAAATATAGTTAACATTTATATATAAAGATATTGGAAAGAAATATTGAAAATAACATTTATGTTACTGAAATAGTAGTTAGATGTAACATTTATATATAAAGATATTGGAAAGAAATATCAAAAATAACATTTATGTTACTGAAATAGTAGTTAGATGTTACATTTATATATAAAGATATTGGAAAGAAATATTAAAAATGACATTTATGTTGCGGAAATAGTAGTTAGATGTTACATTTATATATAAAGATATTGGAAAGAAATATTAAAAATGACATTTATGTTGCGGAAATAGTAGTTAGATGTAACATTTATATAAAGATATTGGAAATAAATATCAAAAATAACATTTATGTTGCGGAAATAGTAGTTAGATGTAACATTTATATAAAGATATTGGAAATAAATATCAAAAATAACATTTATGTTACTGAAATAGTAGTTAGATGTTACATTTATATATAAAGATACTGGAAAGAAATATTAAAAATGACATTTATGTTGCAGAAATAGTAGTTAGATGTAACATTTACATATAAAGATATTGGAAAGAAATATTAAAAATAACATGTTACTGAAATAGTAGTTAGATGTAACATTTACATATAAAGATATTGGAAAGAAATATTAAAAATAACATTTATGTTACTGAAATAGTAGTTAGATGTAACATTTATATAAATAAGAGTAGGTTCACAAATAATTTAGTATAATAGCTTCAAAAAAAAGATTTATAAATTGAAAGAAAAGTTACAATTAGTATTCATACAATTGAGAAAAAGGTTTCAAACAATCTTGCAATAATATAAAATGTCTGTCTGTTAGGGTTGCATTTTAACTGAACCAGTTTTTTCTCATGGTCAGCTAATCCAGGGTACAGTTATTCGATCAGTTAAAATTTTATGTCCCTGAAAATGCAAATATTGAAAATGTTGTTTAAAAGGAAGTTTTGTGAACTTTTTCAATATGAATTTGATAGCCCTTAGTTTTAGACCATGATTATAATAAATCCTTGAAATACCACAACCGTAGATATATATATTTTGACAAATTTTGAGAAATTCTACTAATAGAATAATAAAATTTGAGAAAACATATTTCTGTCTGTCCATTGTGTTTGAAAATAAAGAAGAAGAAGAGAAAAAGGAATAATCAAAAAACAATTTAGAAGTATAACGCCTACTAAGAGTGACTCGTATGGATGCATGTTAAATTGTGTGTGCATGTGTTGTTAAAATTTAACAATAAATCTTTTTCTTTGCAAAATTTTTAAATCATTTTTTTCATGTAGTGTTGAGTCAAGCATCAAAATAATTTTTAAAAGTGAATTTTCAGAGTATTGTTTATGCCATTTTATGGTAATAAAAATGTTACATTTTTATGTTTCAAAGAATATGCGTATTTTGTTTTTATTTGACTTTCATATTGGTTTGGCATGTAATTTTATAAAATTCTGTTTACAAATTCAGTATTTTGTTGAGATCTGAGGATTCTGTTAACAAATGCAAAAACATGGCTGACTAATTCAAACTTTTGAAGGAGGGGGTGTTATAAAATCATTCTGCTGTTAACAAGTGCATAAACAGGGATAAAGTTGGAGTGAGTATTCACAGTATTAACATTGCCATAGATGGTTTTTAGTTTCAATAGAACATTTAGAAAGAGGACATCTTACTGGCCTAATATTTCATTTTGTGTGGTTAGATAAGAATACAAATTGAGTGAAGTATTACAACTCTTTACATTTTTTTGAATTTACACATTTTCAACCAGTACTTGTGTGAATGAGGACAATATCTGGATACAAGGAAACACAACTGAGCTGTAAATAGAACAGATTAAAATAAAATGTTGAAGGCTAAATTTTCTGTAGCTACCATGATATATACATTTAAGCTTAAGTCAGTTCCTAAATATTAGTTTTAAAGGATTTTTCAGTGGAGTTGAATTAGGTATTGTGATTATAATATAAGTTATAGTGGGAACTATGTATAATTATTATTGTAAGAAAATTTCGGTAATTTACCAGGTGGCCACCTTCACCGTTATTTGTTTTTCTTCAGCCATAATCCTAAGAATGTATGTGTGTGTGTATCGGCATGCTAGGAAAATAATCATTCTATATATATAAGTGTTTACAAAGAGAAATATTTAATTTTTTATGTGCAGAAGTAAACTTTAAACCTTAATCATTTTGTACAGTTTATTTTCTAGGCAAGAAAAAAATTTTAAAAACAGAACGATTTTAACAAAATCTACATAGTTTGGACATTGGGTCTTGAATAGTACATTGAAAACTGGTAGATTATTTGTGATCTTTTTTAGATTTAATGTAAAAATCATTTTTGCAGGTGGGAAGGCTCAGGATTGGAAGAAGTTGGAAAAGAAAGGGAAACTGGAATTGTTCGAGTTCGAGTCAATCCAAAATATTTTCGTCCTGCAGAAGTAGTAAGTAGTTTTCTTCGGTATTTACAATTTTTTTTGTGGCACATTATTATATTTAGTACTTTGAATTATAAAATTTTGGGAAGGTTAAGCATAAACCACACATTTTCAGTGACATACAACCAGTACAGATATGTGGTATTTAAAATATAATGTCCATTCCTTTTCTGTAGTAAAATCCTTTGTTTTCTATGTAGTAGAGTAACACGTATATGTAAAAGTTTTCAACTTCTGAAATTCACGTGTATCTAGAAATACTATTTATTTAGTATACAAAACAAATCTCACAAAGTAAACATTTCAATCTGTTCAGCTCTTTGAAAGATTAATACTAAAACTGCACTAATAATGTAAAATTAGTGACCCCATCATATATTGATGGGGTCACCCCAGTGTTGTTCATATCAGGATTTTGTGAAGCTTACAATGTCTTTGTGAGTGTTCGATTAGCCTTTTCATGTACAAAATAGATTTTCAATGCATTGACTGTATGTTTGGGGTCATTGTCATGTTGAAATATTAAACTATGTCCAATGAGATTTGTATCTGAAGGAATGGCATGGTGGATCAGAACCTGCCTTCATCTATCAGCAGTCAAGGTATCTTCAATTTTATTTACGTCCCTGACACTCTTGGCTGAAATACAGCCCCATAATTGTATTTATCCCACCCCTCATGCTTTACTTTAAGCTGTGGTAAACTAACTGCTATACTGCTCTCCTGTCCACCTTTGAACAAACAGCTGTTCATTTTTGTCAAACAGCTAAAATGTAGACTTGTTTGTAAAGAGGATTTTTTTTTTCTAGGTTTGATCATCTCACTGTTTCATTTCTGTTACCCATTTCAGTGTTTTTGTTTTATTGTCTCTTCTCTGCAAAGTTTTTTGAACAGCTACATGCCCACTGAGACCATTTGGGGCTAATGTGTATTTTAATGTTCTTGAAGAAATATTTCTATCTATACTTGCAGCGAGATCATTCACAAGATTTATATTGGATCATCACCTATCAGGCAGAGAATTTACTCTAAGGAACTTTACATCACTTTTATGTAGCTTGAGTTTTCTTTCTCGACGACTTTTATTATCAATAATACCCGTTTCACAAACCCTCTTCAAGATCTTGCATATGGCACTGAGTGAAATATAAAGTTGTGATCTATTGAAAGGAATAACTTTCTTTAGTTAAAACCCTGATTTGCATATGCTTGTCATGTGTAATCTCCTTCCCAGGAGCCACTGTGTTTACCACAAGTTTCAAACTGACACCACATTATTTCCTTAACACTCAGTCACATTGTTCTGTATCATCAACACAACACTGCATTAGGCAACATTACATTTTTACACAAAAGATATTATTTTATCATGTGTAATTTGCATTATGTACCCACTTTGTCCACTGTTTCCATAAGTCTTTCTAATACTGTATATTAAATATGGCAAATTACAGTTTGCATTTTTAGTAACATTGATTTTATACATGAAGATAAAAGTTTACTGTCATCTATATTAGGAAGTAGGAAAGCTGATTTGGGATGTCTAACTAATAGAAATTTTTAATTATGCCTGGAATGCCTAGACTTGTTAGTTTGTTTCCATACTTTCTAGCTATAGTAGGACTGAGTACTCCCAGTGACCATTGGCCAGAAAAAGAATAACAGTTTAAAGATTATTGTTGATGGACAGGAAACTAATACCTGTGTATAGAGCAAATTAACTTTTGGATTGAAAAAATAAAAGTAAAGACTTTTTTGTCACATCCTTAGCCCTGACGACCTCTTCCCACCCCAGTGTTCTGATATTAGAAGCTAAACGTCCATCAGGTGACAGTCTTGTGAGTATGAGAAAACTAGAAAAGTCACACACTGTGTGTGTGTGTGTGTGTGAGAGAGAGAGAGATCTCTTCTTAGTTGGTTATGTAGGCATGGAACCCATCTTGTATAGAACCATTAAGTATTGTTATATGTATTTCTTTAAGGACTTTTTGCTGGGAGATGCCTCTAAGGCTAGGAAAAAGCTGGGATGGAAACCTAACATAACATTTGAGGTAAATAATGTTTTCACAAGTAAATTAGTTTTGCTTCCTAAGTTAGTGTATCATTTGTATTGTATTATTAGAAAACAATAAAACCATCAATCTAATCAATATAATTTTTGGACAGATTATTTGTAAAAATTAACAGTTAAGATTGTGGTATTCTGGTTTTCTCTTTTTTTTAAATGACATAAACATCAAATTATGGCACTTGTCAAACTAAGTTTATAATGTTTTATTTTGGTGATTTTTTCTTAAAAATTACACTTTTTATGTAGAAAGCTGTCATGATATAAAAGACTGTTTGGTTTAGATATTAAAGATTAATTTATTTTTGCTGAGTGAATATTTTATTATTTTTTAGTTTTTGTTATAATATAAGTTAAAAGTAGACAAATGTAGGAAGTTTTGTTAATAATTCATTGGCGTTGAGAATATTGAAGGTGGGCAGACGAGTAAGTGATAATGATATAAATAGCGTGAGATGAGCAGGAAGCAGCAGACAGATAATAGCAAAAGAGAATAAAGTTGGTGTGAAGTTAAGTATTGTAGATGTGATAGGTCTAACATTTAATATGTTAGAGTGAAACTAACAGTAGAAAAGAAGAAAAATAATTTTATTATGTCAAAACGTGGTCTAAAGTAATTGAATCAGTTTGAGATCACTTTGACTAAAGGAACAGAGGATCTTCAAAAGAAAAAAGACCAAATGATTATGGAAACTTGTGCCACATATGTAAGTGAATCACAAAGAGTACTAGTGCGATAGAAATAGAGAAGATAGTTCGGCTTGTCAACTGAAATTCTTAAATAATTAAATAGGCCCAAGTGGATATTTGACAAGAAGGAGAGAACCACATATATAATATTTATGATATGTCCATAATATCTGTAGTGTTGAAGAATATATTGTACATACATTAACTTGTTCTGAATATATATATTATTTTGAAAACAGGTGAGGTGCGTGCTGTAAATTCATTATTGAATTTATCGCTAACAAGTCACAGACACCTGTTGTAGAAGAATCCTAAGCCCAACAACAACAACACAGTATCTATTTATACTATTAACAAGTATAAGTAAAAGTCTTTACATTCTGACAATTGGTAAAGAATTATATTTTAAATTCTAACAAAGCAAAGAATAAATTATTTATTCTGAATAATTATGCACACTGAAGTGCTTAGATTTTTCATTTTGTTGTGTACTTTTTATTGTTTTATTAATAATAAAAACTTTATATTGATAACAGTACTCTTTGGTAAGTATTGATTAACTTTATCATGTGATATAAATTGTGACTGCCTAGGGAGGTGATGTGGTATTTTTTTTCTTAATTGCCTTGAAATTTACATGTTAAACATAGTTATAGTTGTAGAAAGTGAGCTTGATTCTTGTATTTTACCTGCTGATGTATATATTACATGATATTTTTGTTTCCTTTTAAAGTTTTCATATCCTATTTTATCTGAGACAACAAAGGCTCTTAATAAAAGCTTTGAAGTCATTGTCCAATACATGAAGTTTATTAAAACATGGATTTTAAATGATTTGCTACAATGTCCTTATTATGTAAATAGCACTTTTATTACATCGAAACAGCTAAGGTCATGCTATGTAGATCATCCCATATCTAAATGTAAATCATAAATTATCCCATTTTTGAGTATCTTGCTAGCAAGATTGAATCAAGGACCTCTTGCATGCCAGGTGAGTACTCTACCAAAATGGTTCAAACCACGAGAATTAGTAAATCACTTTTGACCCTTTTGCTATGGGCTTGGCAGATTCAACTGAGGTCATAACCCCAAAGTGACCATCAGGGTTTCCATACTATAACTTTTAATATGTTTCGTGTATCTTCATGAAATTTGGCAGGTTTTCAGTAAATATTTCAAGTCTTTTGTGTACAAGAAATTAGATTTTTAATTAAGTATTTTACTAAAAATTTGTCCATGAATATATGGAATTAGAGTGTTAGCTGTTCTGAGTGCAAAGTGATTTTTCATATTAAGATGAAAAATACTTTCTTCACCTGAAAATTGTCAAATTTCATTTGCATAATGTCCAAAACCTTCTACATAAACATCAAACTCCACAGTAAAACTTTATATTTTGTTTTATTTTCTCTACCCTAACACTATACTTATTTGATCAACCTGGCCGACCTTGTAACCACCATAAATAAAATATGAAGTAAATCTAAATTGCCCCTTTTTTCTTTCTGGAATGGCTGCAAATTGTAAGGAAAACTACAATTGTTTATCCTAAATAGCTTAAAGCTTATAACAGTATACATCTGTTTATACTTAAATTTTATTGCCCTTTGACCCTTGTCTAACTAATAACACCACCACACAATTTGTAAATCACTTGGTGAATGTGTAGCTCAAGTTATCGTATTGAATTTCGTAACAAACGAGCTGCTTGCGAGCATACCTCGTGAAGAATTACTATTATTATTTTTCATTATATTACTTAATCTAACCTTACCTAACCTAATAATTTTTATGTTTTAGTTACTTTATAATAATAAATAAACAATATACATGAAAAACAAGAAATATGGTACTTACCTGCATCCTATTGTTTTTTTGTTGTTGACTGTTGATAAAAATTAAGCCTGCTTTTTGGTACTAATGGTACTAGTACACTAAATAATTTTTATCTAATTAAATAATGCCTGAGATCTTGAGTCTCATTTTTGTTTATTACATCCCATGAGCCAAAGTATTGGTTTATGAATAATTTAGTCGATGTATACAATCTTTTAACAGTACAGTTCTCTGAGCAGTAGGCTCCAGATAATGGCTCTGATTGTATTTCACAGTGTAAAAGCTGTTCAGCCCCCAATATCTCCTCCCTGAGTGTTTTCAATCAAATTAACTTTTCTCTGCTGTCATTCCTGTGATTTGCTGCAGGGCTCAAATGCCTTTTCACATTTCATAGAACCCACAATGTAGCAATCAAGCTCTTCCATTATCCCCAATTACTTCTGTAATTATTCCAAGGGGGGTTCTGTATATAGAAACAAACTCTGTTAGGACATCTGCCTGTTGTATTCGAGCATATGTGCCACATTTGGTCCCATTAACTTGTGAGTTGGAGTAAGATCTGGGTCCCAGGTGGGAGGTGTTTGGAGAAGAAACACAAAATCCCATGCCAGTTTCAGGCTAAGTGGCTCTGAAAACTTACTCATAGATCCCCATCATGCTTGGGTGAACTACCTGGCACATTTTAGCCCCCTTGGTAGGGGTCTACACTGTATGGATTTGGATACCTTGGGACACATTACGTCTGCCTGCCAAATTTGGTCCTGCCAGCTCCAAAACTATGGGAGGAGTTCATGGACGAACAAACACACAACATGAATTAATATAGGATGATGATAATTATGTATTTTGTTTGATGATAAAATTATTTCATAAATAAAAATGCAACATTTTATTGTATACTATCAAGTTATATTGTCCTTTTTCTGTAGTACTGTAGTCTGAGGTATGTTTTAAAGTTTCTGAATTCTTTGTAACCAGATTACAAGCTAAAGTGGTTTAGTTAGTTAGGTAGTATTATGAGGGAAAGTTGAAATTTCATTGTGTTGTACATGCATCTTTCCCTGTAAAGCCAGGGGAAACTATTTGGAATGACTGTGGCTATCCTGGGATTTGTTCATTTTTGATGATAAATCTCGCATAAGAAATTTCGAATGTGGTAATAAAATATCAGATTTATTCAGTTTTATATATTTTGTTTTTCTGTATGTATTGTACGGAGACTAAAATATGTTTTTTATTAATGAACAAAGGTGAAATGAGCAGCAATTGTCTAGTTCAGAATGGAGAAAGTCTTGGAGGACTCACCTACAAAATTAGCTCAGGTACAAAGGTCGACCTTTGTTTTTTCGTCATGAAAATTTTGCCCAAAATTGTCTATAAAAATATCTTTTTCTCCTTTTCACAGAAACTGGTACATGAGATGGTTGATGCAGATATCAAGTTGATGAAGAAGAATCCTTCTGCATAGTACATGCAGAAAGTATGTTGTTAACCTGGAAAGTAACTTCTCACCAAAGTACCTTTATCTGTTAACATTTATATCCTTTTAACTTGGGACCATTAAAGTACAACACGCATTGTGGTTGTGTAGCTACTAAATAGTGATATAAGCACATTAAGAATGACTATTTCTATTGCTGATTCAGGTTGTTATTTGATATCTTTGTATCAGCTGCATGAGAAAGCATTCATTCTATTTGCACAAGGACATTTTGGTAATTTATTTTATCTGTTATCTTAAATGGCAGTCTTTTTATGCAAAATTTTTTGTGATTTATAGAGTTTTATGCGTTTAACTACACGTTTAAGATAACAGCATTGCTAATTACATTGATTTCAAATCTTTTTAAAAGACATTAGTACAGAACAGTAAAAGAAGTTTATTGCTGTCAGTTAGCTCAGTAAAATGTTTCATTTCTTTGTTTTAGTTGTACTTAATCAAATATGTGGAATAATTCATTATGGACTTGCAATACTTCTTTATAATCTAAAAGATTAAAATTATGGATTTGACCATTTTCTGTTTTTAAAAATTTGCATTTATTAAGGTATCCATAAATTAATTAAACTATATTTATTACAATTTATATGTTAAAAAACTGTCAAAAAAAAGGAAGAGTATTGTGTTTAATTATCAGGCATAACTATATAGTTTTTATATAGTTTAAATGAATAAGTACACTGTGTAAAATTACAAGAATTAATTATATTATGTTATTTAAAAGAAGTTGGGCATAATATGGTAAAAAAACTCCACAGGTTTCATTCATGTGTATGTTTGAAAATTATGCTTCTGCACTTAATGATAAACTTGGTAACTGTATTTTGTAATGTTTTTTTTTCTATGGTTAGAACAGACTGCAGAAATTGATTACATCATCTAAGATTAAGATTTATTTAAAAAGGATTTTGTACCTGTTATTAGTAAAGTTTGATGTAATGAGAAGTGTATCAGCAGAGAATGAAGAAAAATAATTTTTCTAGTCAAAGTAGTCCAAACTATTACAATGTTAGTAATTATGTTGTAGTTGTAAAAATAGAAACACACACATGTATCTTTAATTTTTTTTTTGTCAATGGTTCCTATTGTTTCATTAGAGTAATATACTGTATATGGTATTATTTTGTATCCTAAAAGAAGGTAAATGACAATGTAGTGGAAGTATAAAGTTATGTATCTCTTAAGTTTTACATATATTGCAATACAAAAGTTGTCAAAAATAAGTATTTCTGTTAAATTGTGATAATGTTAAAAATATTTTGAGTACCACATATGGTTTTTTTTTATTGTTTATATATTTATATTGGTTTAGCTTAGTTGATTTTGAAATCAGTTTCAAAGACCATTTACATATTGTGAATGGGGCATTACGCGTTTTTTAGAATTAAAGCTATATATATATAGCATCTGATGTAGTGCTTACTTGACTGTCCGTCAAATGTGATATTTCTAAATTCTATATAGAGTAGCCATTTCTGGTCAGTAATTTTTCTTATATTTTTTGTAAGTGATTAGATGATGTGTATGAACTCTCTGACAGGTAAATTCCAGTGTTGTAACTATGCATTTTATGGTTATAATTTGTTCCATTACACTGTAAACTTAGAGTAGCCTGCATTCTATTTGGAGCAAATCATTAAGATTTTCTACTGACTATTGTCACCAGTCTCAGAACAAAACTAAAAACAACATTGAAATAAAATTTCATAAAGAAGTTTGTTAAAGTCAATAAGTACTTGGAGTGGATTTTTAAAGTTTCATAAAATATGATATTGTAATGATAATATACTACTAGTTTAAAATAAAAAGTATTCAACTAATCAAAGATTATATGAAGTATCAATAATCATATTGGTTCTTTGCATTTTGCAACTAGTATTCAAATTTTTTCTAAAGATGACTTTTAAACTTTTGAAAGTTTAAATATATTATATAGTAAAGGGTTATGAGAATAGATTTAAACAGTATACAAGAATCAGAAGATAACATAGTGTGTAATTGCCGTCTGACTGGATATTATTTGGTTAATTTAATTTTACCCATAAAGGTGGAAAGAAGTGGGTGTGTTCAAGAATTTTAAGACATTGAAATTTGCTTTCTTTTTGTTATTTGAGTGTTTAGTATTTTTTATTTTATAACAATGTAGCAAATTTATAAGTGAAATGAAACATATCCTCTCTCTCTGTATTGCACTTATACACTATATTCTATTTCTTATTGATAATTACATTTGAGTGCCTTATATAATATGTAGTGTGAACACCAGACATTGCCTACGATTTTTACTGTACCCCGTGTGTTTTGCACTGACGGTTTGGAGAAATAAAGTGTGCATTAAAATATTTTCACACATGCATACTTTTTGAGTGAAATTTTATTAATCGACAGATACAGACATCATTAAAACCCTGAGTTAAATGAAAATCTCATGAAGTTAATTGTCAGAGGATTTATTAAACTGTGTGTATGGTTTCAAGACTCAAATACACAATTTTTACAATCAGATTTATTGATTTATAATTTGCACTAGTATGTATTCACAATGATAAAATATTAACTTTACACACTTTTGCATCAACAAGCGAATTTATTTTAGGTTGTAAATCAATGGTTGAAAGTTTAAAGCATTTGGGAATTGGGAAAAGTTTTGAAAATGTGAAGAAAATAATGCTGATATTAAATTAACTTAGATGATTTACTGTTTATCCTCTTACATCCTCGTAAGACATGTTCAAGTACATGTAACTTAATGGTGGTTCTGAAATTAGCACATGCTTCTAATTTGTGGCCAATAGAAGGAAAATATTTTAGTTTTTGGTATATTTCTGTTTTGTTTTTTTATTAGGAAATGAAGATTTTAAAATTTTAGTTGGATTAATCTGATTAATATTAGTGTGTCTGTAATGTTTATTTAAATTAGTTGATGTTTGAATATTACAATTAGTACATTTTATTTTTTTTGCATGTATGATATTTAATTGAGATTATTTTCAAAAGTTTTATTATTATTATTATTCTAATTTTCCTTTTGTAATTTTTTCTTCGCAGACTGAAGTCTTACCCGTTTGGTGACCCTGCCCTTATGCTCCAAATTACACCCCAAAATGTAATTTTTTTCAAAATTAGGGTTTTAGAAAATAAATGTGAAAGGATGGTGGATTTAAAATATAAAAACATCTTTCGCTCTGGGAGTAGGTTAGGGTATGAGGTGGTTGGTAGTTTATTTAATCTTAAAGTTTATATTATTTTTGTGATTTCCCAAAAATAATTGCTGACATCATTATATATATATATATATATATAGATAGATAGATACAGTAAATTAGTAATAACTAGTTAGAAATGCTGAAGGAGTTCAATTAAACTTTTCTTAAACCAAGTACATTTATATTTTCAGAATGAATGTAAACATTTAAAAGTGTTTCCTTAATTTTGAAGTTTCAGTTCCTCAGTTTTACCACTTTGAAGAGTGTCATAGAATTCAAATTAAAGTACTTAATTTTGAATAGTTTTTGCAAACACTGTCACATCATCCTATCTGCAATAACTCAGGTCAGTTGATTAGTAATTTTAGATCAGTGGTATAGCATTGACTGATTTAATAATTGCAATAGTGAATATGGAGTTTTTTTCAAATTTAAGTAAAAATGAAAGGGATTGTTAATTCTAAATCAGGCAAAGGAAATGCTATTGTAATTATTTTAATGTAGTTTTTTTTCTTTTTAATTTTGTGCAAAGCTACTTGAGGTTTATCTGCACTAACTATCCCTAATTTAGCAGTGAAAAACTAGAGGGAAGACAGCTAGACAACAACAACCATTGCCAATGCTTGGGTTTATTTTTTTACCAATGAATTATAGGATTGATCATCATAATATAATGCCCCCCCCATGGCTGAAAGGACAAGCATGTTCAGTGACAGGGATTCAATCCTACAACCTGTGGTTCATCAGTTTTCAGTTGTCTCATATAATGCAACAGTTGAAGTTTGATAATAATGTGTATAGTGCCAGTTTTGATTTTGAATTGTTATATACAAGTACACCTTTTGAAAAAACTATATAGTTAAGTGCTGATCTGCTTTACAATGACAATTCCAACAAGGTTACTATTCCAAGATCTGTGTAATCGAAATTAATGAACTTTACTACTAAATAATCCCATTTTTTTAATGATATTACCATTAACTTGAGACTGGTGGCATTTTTAGCCAATTTATTTCTGTGTTTTTATGAAAGACAGTGGCTAGAAACATGTCCACAACAGTTTAAACTTTTCTATTATCAGAGATATGTTGATGACACCTTCATCATCTTCAAGAAACTTATCAAGCTTCCCAATTTCTTCACTATTTGAATAGTATACGTAATAGCATGATGTTTACTGTGAAACATTCAACATCGGCAGGATCATAAATTTCCTTTTGAAAACTTTAATTAGTAATAATAAGGAGCAATTTGAATATGAAGTATATCATAAGAAAATATTTACAGATTTGTATTTCAACCATGCAAGTTTTATTTCAAATATTTTTAAAGAAAGTTTAGTCAATATTATTTCATAGTGCATATACAAAATATCTAACACATACGAGATATTTCTAAATAACTTAATAACATCAAGAAATTATTTAAGAATGATTTTCCAGTTTCTTTGATTGATAGAACAATTCATAATTAGTTCAATAAGGGTTAATATACCATGTACAATTGATATGCCAAAATATGCTCATATCATTAGCCATGAGTAAATATTCCTTAATCATTAAGAATCAGTTGGAAAATGTCATTCGAAGGGTGTATCTGCAGATGTGTGTTTAATCCTAATTGTCGTCTATGGTTTTTCTTTAGATTATAGGTTCAGATACTGACTTTATAATCATCATATGTAGTTTATAAATTTACTTGTCTTTTGCTGTCGGCATGGTTACATTAATTCTACTATAAAAAAAACTGTACGTGAATTAAAGAGCATGCTAACCTAAGAGTAAAATTGAGTATATCCCACATTTTTGTATGTATATGTATGAGATCTGTAGAAAAGTATCTTAGTGTCAAACCACATGTAAATTTTTCAAAACATGGCTCGGTAATTGACCAAAAAACAGCAAAATTATGCTTTTTTTGTTAGCTTTGACCCCCCCTTAAAAAGACTCAAAATGGGGAAATCAAACTTTTTTTTATGTCAATGTATTGGGTGTATGAACATTTATATATGTGCCAGT